ATTTGAGCATTTAATTCGGGCTCTCACTCGACTGGACAAAGTAATGGAGAATCTCATGAGGAGGATGCCGGGGTTTTAGACAGAAAGCTTTAGGGAAACGCAACAGTCAAGACGCGAAGCAGAGACCTCCACTCAGCTCTTCGACAGCTCCTTAGGGAGTCCCCACACATCCCGTGAAGCTGATGGACGCTTTCACTCCTCCACTGAACCGCGTTCAGTTACATCACTAAACGGCGAGTGATGTTGAACAGGTAACGGACGCTCGACTTCCTCCTCTGCAAACAGAAGCAGTGGCAACACTTGCCCTGACTGCCTCAAAGATCAAATGAGAAACTGGATACGAGAGCCTTGTCAATTTGAAGCCCTCGATAAGTAAAGGCCTTGCTGCTCTGCTATTAATATCCATTCACAGCTTCTGCATGTTTAAGCAGACGATCAGGAAGCCCCATAATACTTACCCAAAATTCAGAGTGGAGCTGTGGTGCTTTCTCTTGCTCAGAAAACATGTCCTCTATTTGGAAATTCTAACCCACCCTCATTTCACTAAACCGCGGTGGTGAAGGGACCTTGTAGACCTGCTGGAACAGTCACCACTGGCTCTCCGCTGAAAGCAGTTCCTACGCAGGCGAGTGACAAGCCGAACACAACGCTGATCAGCAAATCCCTGTCCCAGAACTGCAAATGCTGGAGAGCTCCAGAAAAGGAGAAAACATGAACCGTGACCAGAAGTGATGGCAACTTGAAAATATAAACTGGTTCTCAAATGTTTTAGACAGATTAACTGATAGATATATACCAAATCATTAAGGGACTAACGCGACTAGAATAGAAAGCCGTCACGGATTGGGTGCCTCCCAAGGGCTAAGTGCCCGTCAGTTCACTCTCCACCCTCCACTCACCAGTCACCTTTGAGGCGACAGAACCTGGGAGATGTTTACCTATTCCTGGCCACGAGCTCCTGAGCACACTGGCCCTGAGCACCAGGCAGCTCTGTGCTCCTAAGACCCTTGGCTTCCGCCAGCCTGTTTCCAGGATCACCCACTGTGCTGCGTGTGCAGACACTTACACTCTCTCAGATGTGGTTCCCTCTCTGTTGCAGTGGCAATTTTGTTAGAAAACGTTCTTCCTCGAGAAGGATCTGTAGCTCTCTGACGGGGCTCCTGACCTCAAGGACCACTGTGGGGTCACTACACTGACCGCAGAAGTACATCCTGTGACCAGGACCAGCATTAGTGAGCAACCCTGCATGACGCTGGCCGAGTGGGTGCCACGACTTCCTGCCCCCTTCAAGCCAGGGCTGTTCCCTGGGCCCAGAGCCAAGAGGAGAAGCTGAGTCATCTTCCTTCTGCCTCGGCCTGTGGGGAAAGTGTTGACACTGGCTCAGCTTTTCTTCCTACCTGTAAAAGAGTAATATTTGTGCAGCCTTGAAATGCACTCAAGTGGCTGTCAGCAGATATTTTGAATGCGCATATCTTGGCCTTTTCTTCTACTATTGCTGAAAAAACCCACAAACTCAAAGATGTGCCAAACTTTCCAGTACTTCAGGGTAAACTTAAAGGAGTTCCTCTTCTTTTTACAACTGTGGCCCCTCCCCCCTCACCTAAAGGTCAACAGTGAGCGGCAGCAGCAATCACGGTCTGCCAGACGCCTCTGAGGTGACCTAGACGCCCTCCAACTCCCATCAGCCTTGGAATCCACAACGCACGTGAGGCGGCTGCACAGGGATTCGCAGCTCGGCCGGCACCCCAGTCAGCAGCTGGCTTCAGCGTGGCCAGGCCTGTGCCAAGCCCTTCTGGTTCAGCCTGTTCTCTTTCCCTCTGATTCTCTCTTTACTCCTATCTTTAAAACACGTGTCATCTTGTAGAAAATTATTAACATAAACCAAACCAAGAGCGCATCTCCTGAACGGGAACGTGTGCACGCTGCTGTGAGGTTTCTTGTGCGAGATGCTCCTGAGGCAGCCCTGCCTTGCCTGAGTCACTCAGAGGACAGTAACTGGGGCATTCAGGTAATTCGAGTGTGGTGCCTCGTGTGGGAATCTTGCTTAGCTTTTGACCTGCTGAATCAGTGCACACCCTTGGGAAGTCACAAAATCCTTCAAACCTTCTGGCTGGCATTTACCTCTTAAAAACCAGCCTGGTGGGGGGAGTGGGGCTGCTGTCACCACTGGGCAGATCCGGGTTCAAACTCACTTCTTCAACACACTAGGTCTCTGATCCAGGCGGGAACTAATCTCTCACACCTCAGCCGCCTCCTCTGTAAAATGCTGTTCCTCGTGGACTGGCAGGAGGGTTGAGTGAAGAACCAGCGGAAAGCATGCAGTGCTGTTCCTGCTGCTGAGGGCGTGGGAAGTGCTAGCGTCTCCCCTGACCTGTGGGGACAAGTCAGGTCCTCCGAGGTGCATGTTTCCTTCCTGTGGGAAACACTTCTGCCCCTCCTCAACCCTGACCAAGTGATCTTCCCCAGTGGGCAGGAAGCACCCTAAACCACCCAAATTTAGGACAAGAGTGAAAATGCAAAACCAAGCACTTGAAATCCTCGTGTGCTCACAGTCGTTTTGACATTTATTTCCTCAGAGTGGAAATTAACGTGAAATCGAGAATTTGGCATCTGGGTGTGTTAAGCAAGACTGCCTCTCTTAGGGTGTCAGCCTCCCTAGTCGCTGGGAACTGAAGGTTTTCCCAGGACAGGGGACTCAGGGGTAACACCAGGAAAGTCCCCAGCAAGCAGGTACTTAACCTCCTAATGTCCACTTACTCGAAGCAGGACTCAGGACGAGCCTGGGGCGGATGAGGCAGCTCTGCTTTCCGGCCTCTGTGCACCTGGGCCTCGAGGGCCTCCTGGGAGTTGGGAGGGCAGAACCACGTGATTTCTAATGTTACTTTCCGTCTCAAGTCTGTGGTTCTGGCTGAGACGGTCTCTGCCCACCTCAGCAGATGCGCACAGGGACATCTTCTCTTTGCACCTCACACGCCTGCAAGGGAAACGGTGTGAGAGCCCTCCGGGAGCTTGGACACACCCGCTTCTTCACTGTGGATGCTGCAGTCCTGACCTGCCAAGCAGCTCAGAGAGGAACATGGTCCTCAAGTCCTGATAACATCAGCCCGGCTCGCCGGCTGTTTACCTCCAAGGGCGCGTCCTAGAGACACTCAGAGGTGACTGCGAGAAAACACCACCCCTTCTAGAAAGCTGGCCTGTGAGTCACAGCTTACTTCCTACATGGACGCTTTTTATTCTCTCCTTGTGTTTGAAAAGCAGACTTCCTCTAAAAGCCCAGGGAAGGCACACGTCTCTTACCAACAACCTTCTGACTGGATGCAGACCAAGTCCTGAGGCCCCATTTGTAATATGTTGTGATTTTTTAATTCAGTTTAGACTTCAAAGCTTTAATCTGCTGGGGTGAATGACCTCCAAGGAGTAAAATAAACCTCTCAGTGAAAAAATACACCATTTATAATCTGCTCGTTTTCCTTCCCTGTTTCTTGGTTCTTTTCATATGATTTGAACTTTGGGTTTTTTTCATGGTTCACACAGATTGGCCACCAAACAGAAACCATAGACCAGAAGATTTATGAAATTCTTAAATTAATTCTTAGCTCCACTCACTACTATTTCCTTACTCTGCTTTATTTCTTCCCTCCCTCCATCCCTTCCTTCCATCTATGTATTATCCATCTATGTCATCTATCTGCTTGTCTATCATCATCTATCATCTATCTATCCATCTATCCACCCACCCACCCACCCATCCATCTTCTATCTATCTACCTATCCATCCATACATACATACATCCGTGCACCATTACTGATTAGCTGACCCTCCTTCTAGAATGCAAGCCCATCGTGGCAGGGAGCTTGGGTACCCCCAGTGCCTAGTGCAGTATTTGGCTCCTCAATAAATGCATGAGGGTGAACTCTGCTTGTTGTCATCAGCGGGTTGTCCTTGATTACAGTCACTATTGCTCAGGAGCACAATTATTTCAATACCACCCAGTGGACAGCAGGATATGGGTTTAGTTAATACAGTAATTTCCTGTCTGGCACTTGTAACTGACAGTCTTACTCGAGCTCAAAACTGAGTATCCCACAGGCCAGCCTGAGGCCAAGATCCAGGTCTTTCTGTATCTGTTCCTGTGGTTCAGGTTCTCACTGTCTAAGGAAATGAATATTCTATTTTGACTTAAAGATGTGCAGTTATTAATGATTTAATACATCCTCCCCTTCAGAAAGGATTCAAATTTTAATGACAATTTTCAAGGAGATGGCATGAAGATGAAAATCAACTGCAGAATTTGCGGCACCTGCTACTTCTACAACCAGAGTTATAAGCTCCTTGAGAACTTCATTTCCTTCTTGTTCAATATTTCCAACATGGAACATTTAAACATTATATAAATCTACTTATTTCATCACTGAAAACACAAGCAAAGTTTAAACACCTAGCCACTGTGCATCACTTTATTGCTTCTGTTTTACTGAATTTTCAAAAAGAGTAACTGAAAGCTAAGAACTGAAGTTGACCTGATGGAAGAAAAAGCACCTGCCCTCGACTCAGTGATGAAAGCCACACAGTACGACATCCAGACTGTTTCCAAGTTACGATAAGAGAGTTTCTATGGTACCCAGAGGACTTGTCCATTGTCTTCAAGGGAATATAGAATGATTTATCTATTCTCCTCAAGAAGGCCCATCTTGGATGCTTGCACTGGTTTGGGCACAAGCCACGGCAGGACTAGAGAAGAAAGTCTGGCTCAGCCAGTGCGGTGATTTAGACGAGACGTCCTGCTCCCTCCTCCCACCTCCACCCCCAGCAGAGACGGCAGCAAACTTGAAATACCTGGAGTTTGCCTCCACAAATGGGAGGCTCACGTGAAAGGTGACAAACCATGCTTTCATTTTGATCTCTGTGCCCATTTTCCAACAATGATATTAATAAAACATAGAGAAAAAAATCTTTTTAAGCAAAAACCTGATGAAACAATTAAAGAAAAACAATGTGCTAAATATTCAAAACCGTTTTTACTGCATTCCATCTCCAGGGAGCACTGGGGACTTGAGAGACCACAGGACTCACCTGGGTCAGGTCCTGGAATGCTCTCCTCGTTTCTACTGAGGGTCTGATGATCGGCAGTAGGAAGAAAGGGAGAAAACAAAACATGTGAGTGACTGCAGTGGGCACACTCTTGCTTCAACTTTTTTCACATCATACAAATTCATAAATTAGTATTAACAAATGATAAAAATGCTTTATTTCTTTAGTACAGAATACACAATATTGCACTCCAGCTGTAAGCACTGGGTAGAGAAAACTATATTTAGAAACTGCCGTAACCACTGTCTGGGCCTGATGTTTTACGGCGTCACCAACGATAACCACGGCAAGGTCGCACGAACTTTCAACCACTGAAAAGGGCAAAGTTTAAAGCAGCTTTCCTTCTAGTCCAGTGTCACGGACAGCGGTTTAAAGACCATACACACATGTATATAATGAGGAAACTTCCAGTTACATAAACACCCTGCAGTCTGAGGCATTGCAAATCTGTACCATATGTTAGTGGAATAGATACTGTCAAGCTATTTTCCCTGGGTTATCAATAATTTTTCTTTCCACTGCATTTAATCACGTTATTTTATGTTCGGCTCTTTCATAAACAAAACCATTTTGCAGTAGTAACTACTGCTCATCCTCGTGAAAAGCAGTTGCGAACTTTGTCATTCAGATTGAGCTACAAAGTTTGGTTTTCCCAGGGTCACTAGGCAATCTGGGGTAACTCAGGGTTAGGAGAGGACTTGTGCGTCCAACCACACATGGGGGCCCTGATGCTGAGGCGAGAATCTGCATCGAGGGAGGGAGAGCATCTGGGGACACCCCATTCCTGTTCTTCACACCCGCCTCTGACACTGACTTCCAGCATTCGCTCCTCCTGAACTCTCTGCTCTCTCGGTACGTCCACTGACGTGCACACCCTTCTGGCAGAGCTTGGTGCTTTTCAGCAGCAACCAATATGTTTTTATATTTTTCATCTGCTGTATGGATGGCAAGTCTGCACCATTTTGATCTAAGATAAATCTGACCTAGGTTTCAGTTCATCCTATTCTGACAGTAGAAAAGCACAAAACAATTTCACTTAAAGCATTCACACAGAAACTTAATGCAACAACTGCAAATAAGGGAACTGGGTATATGAAAAGATCCTTTAAAAAAAAAGTCTCATCTTTGACAATATCTTTTTAAAGTAAGTGCAATCCAGTGAACAGCAAAATAGCAGCATTTTTAGAGGGACAACTGGAGAAAAATCCTGAAAGCGGGGAATATGCTGTCTTTAAATAGAGTCTACATTGAGAAAAGTACATTTGTCTGCCAACAGAGCCTCCAAAATTTGTATCTGGGGCTAATCTGAAAACAAATCACTATGGCATCGAATGCTTCATAGAGCAGAGGACACTTACAGCCAAAAGTTGAAAATTCAATTAAACAACATATACAAAATGACAGCCAATGAGAAAATGATTCAAAATTATACAATAAAAACTGAAACCATATGAAGTCAAGGAAAACTATTTGAAGATCAATAACTGTGTAAAAATAAATATTTAAGTAACTCAAAGACCTACTGTCACAGTAAAAGTTACAAAAATAGAATACATTATTAAACAAATACATGAATATATCAAAATGGATTGATTTATAAAATATTTACCATTGAAAAACTCATTTCCCTCCCCTCCATATTCTTTAATAATTTTGTTCTTGAAAGGATGTATTTTGATAAAATATGGTAGACTTTGAAAGAGGTGACTGGGTGAAAATTTACTTTGAGTGCCATCACTGACATAAAATTTCTCTCAGAAGGTTCTGAGTCTGAAACCTGTGGCCTCCGGGTGTCACGAGAGCCCGTTCTGAATAAGTAGCTCCTCACCAACAAGATTCTGATCTTCATGATGCCCGGCCACCCAGAGACTGCCCCTTGTCTCAAAAAGACCCTTTGCAGAGAAGGGTGAACTATTGCCAGTTTGAGATGACTGTGTGATACATGGAGGTGGGAACCAGACCAAAGGGCAGGCGTGTTCTGTTTCATGCGTCCACATTCTGTATAAACCGACGTTTTCTTCTCCTTCTGGAAGCTGGGAACAAGAGAACTGTGGAGGCACACTCTAAATGGTGCTGCAAAAGAGGAATTCTGCTATTGATCTAATGAAAGGAAGCTCCAAGATTCTTCCGCCAATTCTCAAGAAATAGTCCAGGTCTGAGAAAAGGTATTTTAGCAGTATTTCAACTCTAACTTATTTTGGAATGTACTTCCATATGTCTACAACCCAGCGGGAGTAGCATTAATAGAATGACCTTGTAGCCCTCAAGCAACTTTAAAAGTGCTTTCTGACTCATCAGGCAAGATGACCAGCCACCCAGTTTGGGAGCTCTCTGTGGTTTAAGGCCCAGGGATGCCGAGCAAAGCAGGTCTGTGTTGAGGGTCCAAGTGTAAGTGTGTGTTTACTCTTTGTTAGCCATAGTATTTAAGTAGAAGGGACCTTCTTGTGATTATGGCACTTTGATTTCAACAGTGCCAATCTGTCCAAGATGAATGAAAGCAGTGAATACCATGGTGTTCACGCTTGGTTGTCATGATCGTTGGTTTTTTCTCTTTTTAAAATCAATGTGATATCACTTAAATGCATCATGGTACCTCTTTGTCAGAAAGCCAGTCAAAAAGATGCCCCTGAAAATGTTTCCAAGCAGCTCTCCTCTCTTCTGCTGCCCCCTGGAAGGATAGGTCCACCTGAGCAAGAATACATCTCCAGAGCCTCAGCCGTGTCCTAACAGTTGTAACTCAGCTAATTTCCAAGTTCTTTGTTCCCATCTTCTCCACGGCATTTCAACCCTTCTGAAATTACTTACGTTTCTTCAATGGGGTGCTTTATTCTTAGGAAAACAACAACCATGTGGTCACTTGTGTGCACTAGACAAAGCCTGTGGCAGTGAGGATGGCCTTGGGGTTCCAAATCATCCACGACACTCTTCAAGGAGCCCCCATTATTGGGAAGGCTTGCTTCCTGGGGAGTAAGAAAAAGTAGTGACTCAACACCAGTCTAGACGAAGTTACAAAGCCACACATCATCCTACAAAGTCTGGCCCCTGCAGTCTTTAGTTTTGTGATATTTTCCCCATTTAAAACATCTCCTTGTTGCATTTTACATTTTGAAACAAAGCAGCCTTAGGAAAGACAGCTATCATCTGGTTTCTTTGGCAGAACAAATATCCATCGCCATGCAGGCCTTTTTCTGGACTTTGGAAATTTCTGGGTGCCTCCAACTACTCATAGGAGTAAAGAGGCTCTTTCTGAATGTTGGTAAGTCCAGTGCCAACTATCAGAGCTGGACAACAAAAGAGAAAACAACGCCAGCAATCTAAATGAATATTCAATGGCAGATTCCCCCTTCTCAGACACAAACCCCTCTAAAAGGCCCTGAACTGGCCTGAAGGCAGAGGGGGTGGCCCTAGGGCTACTGGAACCACTTGTTCACCTAACACGGGGAGCTTCGCAGCTGGTCAGACAAGAAGGTGCGGAAAGGCATTTGCTCCATCCCCCTCGGCATCTCCGCACATGATGAGACTAGTTCTATCCCACCAGCTTCAGGGGGCTGGTTGCCACAGGCGCTCCTCTGATGTCAAAGAGAGATGTGCGGAGAGCTGTGGAATATCTCATTTTTGTCTTTCTTTTGCTTGAGGAAGATTAGCCCCGACTTAACATCTGTGCCATCGTTCCTCTATTTCATATGCAGGATGCCACCACAGCATGGCTTGATGAGTGGTGTGTAGGTCGGCACCCAGGGATCTGAACCCACAAGCCTGGGCCGCAGAAGCAGAGGGCACTGAACTTAACCACTATGCCACCAGCCGGCCCCTGATATTTTTGCCTTGAAATTGAACAATGTTTATCCCTAGTTAATCCAAAGGAAAAACTACCATTCTTTGATAACAATATTAAAATCAGTAACACATACGCCATGCAAAAGACAGAAAACCAGAGAGAACTAAATCTCGGTAGGCCTGCCATTTTATTGAATTGAAGGACAGGAAGATGACTAAATACCAGTGGATGGAAGAGTAATTTTCATGAATTACAGGCTGGGAAACGGCAACCACAACGACCCGAGTGTGTCTACCACTCAGGGGTCCCAGTGGGATTTGCACAGAGTCCATGAGTCACTCTCCAGCTCTGATATTCTCAACTGTGAAAATATTTTTACTCCATGGGGTAATAAATTTATGAACTTTCTATTTAATTCTGGGTGGAATATTTTCATTTTAAGTTATAATGTCTCTATCTACCAAGGGGACAAAAACTTCCATATGAAATATATTTTTCTTTTTCGCTTAGAAAGCATATCTTTGTTCATCTCCAATTTTCTGAATTTTTCGTGAAATCCTAAAATGAATCTATATGGATTCCAACACAAAAGTCCTGAGAAACTAGAGAAAGTGGCAGTCTGCATTCTTGCTTCCACCGCTTCCCTATGTTATGGAATTAGCCTCATACAAGTGACCCTGTGAGGAAGGTCAGCGCCTTCCGGTCCAGCCGCCAGACGAGCCTCACAGAGGAAGGCGGAATCTGCGTCTGAGTCTCGCTCTCTGCTGGCTCCTCCGCAGAGAAGACGCGGTGTCTGGAGGCGGCAAACTGAGGGGCCGTGGTCACAAGCAGACATCCCCCGGGCCCAGTGAGTGGAGAAAGCCCAGGAGAATCATTTCCTCCTCACAGTCCTCCAAAGGCCAGGCTGTGGGTCCCCTGGGGTGACGTTTCCAAGCACCGAGCCGTGTTTGTCTCTGGGGGAGTAAATCTGTGACGTAAATCTCACAGTGCGGTGATGCTGATGACGCACAGAACACGGGGCGGGCTCTCTGTGACGTCGTCTCCCTTCTTTGAGCGAGTGCTCAGAAGACAGGTGACTCAGTCCGCCACTGGAACAAACAGGATTGAGACAGAGGGAGGCAGAGGATGAGGAATTCGAACCTCTGTTCTCCAGCACAGATTCGCCCTGGGGCTTCCCGAACCTCCTGTCACGGCCCCTCTTGCCTCAACCACTTCTCACCACAAAAGTGAAAGTTCCCGCAAGCTGATGGAACTGCTTACATTGTTCAAAGGCTCAAACCTAAGAGGGCCTCAGACGGGTTAACTCCACATACCGAACCCTAAAACCCTTCTCGGGTCCCTGCGTGGAAAGTGGACTGGGATTGGGGCTGAGTCTGGGTCTGGAGGGACCAGACAGCAATGCTCATATTTTCAGCTGTCAGGGTTTATTTTGGTCTGTTGGTGCACCATCTTGTTTCCTCAGCACCATCACCAACTCTACCTCTGTGCGCAAACACAGTGCACTCTGGCGACCCCCAGGGATCTTATTTGTAAGTTTACTTTTTACTCCAATAGACAGCGGCTTTTTATTTTCCTTTTCTGGGTTCCAATCACAGAACACAAATATACAAATTATTACCTATGCAGAATTGTAAAGTAGAGAGGTTGGAAACCATCTGTCCATCTGCCTTCATTTGCGGACCACAGAGACCCAAGCCTACAGTACAGGAGAAACTCCTAACAGAAGACAGGCCTCCTAATTCCCACTGAGTGCTCTGTCCACCAGACCACATCCCCGGGGGCCATGCCGAGCCCTGCACCTTTCCCCCTCCACACCCAGGGGTCCAGGTGGCTTCCTGGGAACACCTTGCCAGCATTCACCCATCTCATTCCCAAAAGACCATCTGTGAAAGATGTAGTTAATGTTTTTTGTTTTTAATTTTGACTGTCTATATACATTCTTTGGGGACTTAGGCTAATGGAAAATGCAATAATCTTCAATAAATTAGAAGGAAGAACCCAAGTAATAAACCTTCTGACTTCAAGAGAAACAATGAAATCCTCACTCCTGGTTAACTTCCCTGGCGGCTCAGGGAAGGCAGGCTTCTGCTGAGGCCTCAGGCACAGGTGAGCTGCAGACAGACATGTCTTGTGGCCCCTCCCCTCCACTCTAGAGACTGAGACTGTGAGTTCAACACGTTTACCTCAAGGCAGACAAAGTCCTTCCATCATATGGATTTTCAAAAAATCTACAGCAAGTCGTCATTGAAGGGTAGGAGAAAGAAAGATGCTGCAAGGTTTAAATTCTTGGTTCTCAAAGAAAACCCTGAAAAGGGATCTTCTCCTCCCATCACTATCCCCCGAAGCGCCCACTGTGCCTGTAAGGAAGAGCAGAGGTGCCAGCGAGGAGACCCATTCCTCAGTTCCTCAGGAAAAAGGAACCTGAGATCAACCCCGCGCTCCTGGTGCCCACGGGGAAGAAATGTACCTCCTGTCTCACCAGCAGAGGCAAAGACAGAACCACAGCCACGGAGGACTTCAAGACACCAGTAACAGTCCAGACCAGCACCCTGTTAACAAGCTGAAGCTCCTTGTGATCTAAGCTGCCCGAGGGACTCTCCCTAGAAAGCTCTCGAAACAATTCAAACAAAACTTAGCAAAGAGAGATCTTTGCAGCTAAAGGAACATCACCCTGCTGACAAGATCCGCAGACAAGCTCGCCCTCTCCTGCCACTTGGTAAATGTGCAGGAACGTCCAGGGACTGCACAGAGACTTCCTTTCCGAGGGGGGCAGATGGCAGCCCGACCCTGGGGCTAGAGGCTGAGCAGCAGCTCTGATCGAACCTCGGGAGCCCACCTCTCAATTCACAGGGGACTAGGGCTCTCAGACTATTTTCAGTGCAAGAAGTAATAGCAGAGGTGTAAAACTGCCTTCTCGCTCAGCATTCTGTAATTCCTATTTCTTCTCTTTTGACAACAAGAACCAACTGGGACGGCGTTAACGTTCAGAATTACTTCTCCAGGCAGTCAGAAGGAGCACACTCAAAAGAAAGCACGCTGGACCTGCGGGGACCTGGATTCGCAGCACTTCTGCTCTTCAGCAGCGGCCACTCTAACGCACGAGCCTCTGCGTCTCGATCTGTAGGGTCCCTGCAGTTTGGGAGGCCTGGATCCACCCAACTCGGCCACACTCACCCAGCCTCACAGACACGCACGCACAGCCTCCCCCCCCAGGGTGCCGCACGCACACCTCGGGGCTGGGGCTCCGGGCCCGCAGTCACGCCGGGCCCTGCAGCGCCTGGCCGGAGGCCTCCTTGGCCTTCCTACAGGTGTAGAGCCACTTGATGATGCGGGCATTCCTCTCGACCACCGAGGTGGTGCTGGGCACCTGCTCCGTCAGCTCCTCCTCCTGCAGCCCCTCGTCGCCGCTGCTGTGCCGGGAGAAGCCGCTGTCGGAGGTGGCGACGCTCACGCTGCGGACCTTGAGCGCGACGTGGTCCGACGCCGCGGAGAAGTTCTCCCGCCCCAGCGCCTCCACCACCTCGGGATCCAGGCCGCAGTAGCGGAAGAAGGTGTCAGACTCGGCCCTGGACGCAGAGTAGCGGGAGCTGAGGTCCGACTGCGAGCGTTGCAGCGCCCCGCGCCTCAGCCCCGGAAGCCCCGCACCCCGCGCCCCGGCCGGGACTCCGGGGGGCGCCCCGACGGGCGTGGCGGGGGCCCGGGCCGCGGGGGCCTCCACGGGGCTGGGCTTGGTCCGGGCGGCCTCCTCGGCCCTGGCCCTGCCCTCTTCTGCCCCCTGGGACGTCTCGGGAGGCACCGGCGTCTTGTCCCTGCCCGGCCCCTGGAAGAGCTTCCTCACCAGCCCCCCTCGGGAGCTGTCGGCGCCCGGCGCACGGACGAACTCGCATTTCTGCCGGTAGATGACCAGCGAGTCAGGCCGCAACGGCTTCCGCGCAATGGCTCTGCGCGCCACCGGACCGGGAACGCGGGCCGGGGCCCGAGGGTCGCCCACCTGCCCTCCGCTCGCCCCGGAGCTGCCGCCCTCGGAAGCGGGGCGCGGGCCGACCCCGGGCAGGCCCCGCACGTACTTGGCGCGGTCGGCGGCCAGCCTCTCCACGGCGCTCCTGCGCGCCGGTCCCGCCGCGTCGTCTGGGGCCCGGGGTGCCTTGGGGTCCCGGGGCAGGAGCCGCTGGCTGGCGGGCGCGTCCAGGGCTGGAAGAGCGCGCATCCTCGGGGCTCGGCGGGGTCGGGGGCTCGGCGTCCCTCGGAAACGCGCTCCTGCTGCGGCCCGCGGCCGTCCCCGAGCCAATTCCAAAGTCCACGCAGGGCGAGGAGCAGAGCCTCAGCCCCTGCCGGCCCAGGTCCAGAGTCTGGACGAACCCGAGTCTGCCCCGATTGGCGAATCGCCCCAGTGCCCGCCCCGCCGGCTCCTCCCCGCCTGCCCTGGCCCCCTCCCCCGCGCGCTCGCCCAGCGCCGCCCCCGCCCCTCACCTCCGGCCCGGAGCCCCCGCCCCGCCCGCACCTCGAGCCCGCGCGGCTAATCGCCGGGAAGGCCGCGGGCGACCGGCACCGAGAGGGCTGCGCGCCGGGGAGGGGCGCTCGGGCGCGCGGGGCCCACGCCGTGCCCAGGGCAGACGAGCGGGAAGGCACCCAGTGCTTTCAGCTCTAGGTATCAGCCGCCTGCTCCCTGCCCGGGTAGTGCCTTGGGTCACCGCTGGACGCTGGCATTTCCGGAGTGGGGGAAGGGCAGAGGGAATGGGCTCCCCCACCCCCAGGCAGGTGTCTCACGTCCTTTGAATTCTTGAAGTGACGTCAGCGTGTTTGGAAAGTTTTGACTTTGTATAATTTCCTGAGTCTCTACCTGAGCACATACTCTTGTTATCGGGAAGGACAGGATAGAAAAGGAAAGAAAACGCATTGCAGGATAGGGACAGTGTGTGCTGCGTGGAGAGAACCCGGGAACCCGGCAGGGACCCGGATCGGTTCCAGACTCCGGCACTGCCGGCCGCGGGACTGACCAAACCGGAGCACCGGGTGCTGGGACTCCCGGGACAGCTGGTGGCGGGAGCGAGGTTCAGCGGATTTGGAACAAATAATGCCCAGAATCACTGCTGTTTTTACTGTCACCAAGGCAACCCGGAAACCACGAGTTTGCCAGGGCGGTGGATCAGGCCAGGAATGCAAAACGCGTAAGAGAAAATACTTCCAAAATTCCATTCTTTCCAAAAGTTGGACAAAGGACTAAAAATATCTGCCAGACGAGTGAAATGTCCACGTTGTCTCACGTTAAGGCGAGCTCCCAGATATGCTGACCTTCCGCAGTCGTGGTTAAGTGTCCTCCTACGCGCGAGCGCAACACAGCGGCCAGGAGGGTGCGTTAGGTCCGGGTGGAATTTTGTTTCCAAAAGAGGGTCTTGGGTGTCAGCGGGCACCAAAAGGGGCTGGTGGTGAGTCAGCAGGTGCAGCAGCTGAGTGAACTCAGCCAGGGATTGGCACACCCGCGCCAGATTACCACCAACCACCGATGATCAGAGAACCACCTCAGGGTTGTGCCACGTGGATCTTTAGACCTTTGGTCCCAATCCCACAGTCAGATAGAAGCACAAGAAACCAGGTCTCCTGAGAGCCAGACTAGCCAGGTAAGTCATGATCTCTTAGGTGAAGGGGAGAGGGGCGGGGAGGGAGAGAACTCCTGGGTTGGACAGATTGTTTCCCATTAACAGGATACTACTGGTGAAGGGGGCCTGGTGGGGGCCCATGTCCAGCCTTTTCTCTGCTCAAGCAGCCTGGTATCTTGTCAGTCAGAGGGAAAACAGTTTTTAAAATTCTGCTCCTGATGGGCGCTTCTTCATGTGTGACTGTAGCAGTTCTGAGAGGATTGGGGCCTCTGGAATCCGTCTGAGTGTGAGTCCACTGTTTATTAGCAATGTTCCTTTGGACAGATAATAAACCTCTCAGGGTCTTTGTTTTGTCATTTGTAAAAATTGCCATTTTTATAGCTTAGAACACTCATTGCTTCATAGTGAGCAACAAAGAAACGTTAATCTGAAAGACCTCGGCTGAATCTCTGCTCTGCCTTCTGCAGAGGCTGCGAGGTTGGACCTCCTGTCCTCTCTGATTGCTCATGTCTAAATTAGAGATCCTTATATCCGCCTGTTAAAGTTTTTGTTAAGTTAATGAGATTATGTGTATAAAGACCTTAATACTATATCTGGTACAGAGCAAATTTTCAATAAATTTTAAATTTATTGTTTTGACACGGATGCTTATGAGTTAATCAACTGTTTATCACATTTTAAATGGTTTGTGAATTCACATATGAGTATTGAACATATTAAGAATAAAAGTAAAACTACTATAAATAAAGTATTGAAGACTTGTTGCTATTAGACAAAACTAATTCTATTTATATCCCTAATTTTCCATCTATTAAGCAGATAATTTACTTGAAAAATGAAACTGGAATAGTAAGAGAGACAAGAAAATAAATTGTTCTCATTACTTATCAGATAACTTAAACTTTGAGCCTAATTTCCTTCCTGGCGTCACCTCAAAAGATTTGATCAGAGCAGGAAAAAATGCTTATGGACCCAATGATCCAGAAACTCTACTCCTAGGAATTTATCCTAAGGACAAAGAAGAGATATGTGCACAGTATGAGGCTATCCATTGCAGACAAACAATTGAAGTCAACCTACATTCAACAACAGGAGGGAAGCTAGAAAATGTATGATATACCCATGGGATGGATTATTATGTAACCATTTACAACCATGCTTTCACACAATATTTTATGGAGTGGGAAATGATCATGATGTATGTGAAATTTTAAAAATAACACAAATATAGTAGCAATCTTGGATAAATTGCCAGGAAAACAATACCTCAAAAGATTAAATCATGAAAAAATAGACAACCTGAACAGACTCATAACTAGTAGGGACATTGAATCAGTGATCAAATATCTCCTAACAGAGAAAAGCCCTGGACATGGTCATTTCAGTGACCAGACAGTTAAAGAATAATGAATATCAATCCTTCTCAACCTTTTTCAAAAGTTGAAGAGCAAGGAGCACTTCTTAATTCATTCTATGAAGCCTGCATTACCCTGATACCAAAGTCAGACAAAGATACCACAGGAAAAGAAAACTACAGATCAATATCTTTTAAAAACATTGATGCAAAAATCCTCAACAAAATACTAGCAAAGAGAATTTAGCAGCATGGTGAAAAGATCATACACCACAACAAAGTGGGATTTATTGCTGGAATGCAAAGATGATTCAACATATGAAAATCAACCAACGTAATATGCCACATCAACAGAACGAAGGAAGAGAAACACATGATCATCTCAATTGATGCAGAAAAAGCACTTGACAAAATTCAACAACACCCTTTCATGATAAAAACCCTCAACAAACTAGGAATAGAGGGAACATCTCAATATAATAAAAGCCATATATGAAAAACCTATAGTGAACATTATACTCAATGGTGAGAGACTGAAAGCATTTCCTCTAAGATCAGGAACAAGGCAAGAGTGCCCACTTTTACCACTTGTATTCAACATGGTACTAGAAGTTCTAGCCAGAGCAATTAGACAAGAAAAAGAAATAAAAGTCATCCAAATTGGAAAGGAAGAAGTAAAATTTTCCTTGTTTGCAGATGATATGACCTCATATAGAGAAAACACTAAACATTCCACAAAAAAGTTAGAATGAAAAATTAGGGGGCAGCCCTGTGGCCAAGTGGTCAAGTTCACATGCTCTGCTCAGATGACCCAGGGTTTTGCCAGTTTGGATCCTGGGTGCAGACCTAGCAGCACTTATCAAGCCATGCTGAGACAGTGTCCCACATAGCAGAACTAAAAGGACCTACAACTGGAATATACAACTATGTACTGGGGGCTTTGGGGAGAGAAGGAAAAAAAACAGATTGGCAACAGATGTTAGCTCAGAGTCAATTAAAAAAAAATAGTTCACCTCCTTTAAAAAAAAAATTAATTCAGCCAAGTAGGAGGATACAAAGTCAACACACAAAAATCAATTGCATTTTTATACACTAACAATGAACAATCTGAAAAGAAAATTATAGAATCAATTGCATTTACAATAGCAGCAAAAAGAGTAAAGTACTTAGGAATTAACTTAAACAAGGAGGTAAAAGACTTGTACAATGAAAACTACAAAACATTGATGAAAGAAATTAAAGAAAATGTAAGTAAATGGAAACACATCCCTTGTTCATGTATCGGAAGACTCAATCTTCTTAAAATGTCAGTAGTACCTAAAACAATCTACAGATTCAATGTAGTCTCTATCAAAATCCTAATGACCTTTCTGCAGAAATAGAAAAACCTATCCTAAAATTCATGTGGAATCTCAAGGGACCCCAAACAGCCATAACAATCTTAAAAAAAAGAACAAAACTGGAGGACTCACACCTCTGATTTCAAAACTTACTCCGAAGCTGTAATAAACAAAGCAGTGTGGTATTGCATAAAGACAGATGTATAGACAATGGAATAGAGCAGAGAGCCCAGAATAAACTCTCATATATATGGTGACATGATTTTTGACAGGGTGCCAAGACCATTCAATTGGCAAGGGACAGTCTTTTCAACAAATGGTGCTGAGACAACTAATATCTACATGAAGAAGAATGAAGTTAGCCTTTATCTAACACAATATACAACAACTAACTCAAAATCGATCAAGGACCTAAAATGTAAGACCCAAAAGCTTCACAATATTGGATTTGGCAATGATTCCATGGACATGACACCAATGGCACAGGTAACAAAATAAACAAATTGGACTTCATGAAAATTTAAAAATCAAAATACACTATCCACAGAGAAAAATGGCAACCCATAGAATGGGAGAAAATATTTGCTAGTCATATGTCTGATAATGGGTTACTATCCAGAATGTATAGAGAACTCCTAAAACAACAACACAAAAACAAAAAATTCAATTCAAAAATGGGCAAAGGGCTTGAATACACATTTCTCAAAAGAAGATAATACGAATGGCCAATAAGCACATGAAAAACTGCTCAAAATCAGTAATCATTAGGGAAATGCAAATTAAAACTACAATGAAATACACCTCACATCCATTAAGATGACTACTATAAAAAAAAGTAGAAAACAAGTGCTGGTGAAGATTTGGAGAAGCTGGTGGGAATTTTGCACTGTTAGTGGGAATATAAAATGTAAGCTGCTCTGGAAAGCAATATGGTGGTTCATAAAAAATTAAAAATAGAATCATCATATCATCCAGCAATTCCACTTTTAGTTATAGGCCCCAAAGAATTGAAAGCAAGGTCTGGAAGAGATCATTGTACACCTATATTCATAGCAACATTATTCACCATAGCTAAAATGTGGAAGCAACCCAAGTGTTTATCCACAGA